ACCCCATCCTCCTTACTCAGACATCAACAACACGAAACGAACAAACTTAAAACAAATTTTAACGTGCTTTTAATTTGTCTTTCTACATATTTCTATTGTACTAGTCCCTTTCACTTCCTGGATGGATACGGCAACCGCCTTGCCTATGCCTTGGCTTTGGGCACCACCACCAACACAGTGGTGTCTCTAATCACGTCAAAACCGACATTGGAGTTTGACATGCCTCTGTGGCTGAAAGGTGTGCTTAGTATAAGAGATCGTTTTGTTTTGAACATAGACTAGGAACATATTATATGTTTTCATGTGTATGTATTTGTGCTTGTTTGTGTTTGTTTGTATGTGTGGGCATGCACACGCTTCTGTGTGTGTGTTGTGTGTGTGCGCGCGCGCGCGCGCAGAGATTTAAAGAACTTGGGAGGGTAATGAAAATTTATGTAAACTTGGTAACCCTGTGTTTGTGATTTCAATTTGTTGATTGAGTTGTCAGTCTTAAAGCACGCAGGTGTTTTCATTACCTTTTTCAGGATTAAATGTCATATTTAATTGTCTTCTCTAAATTTAGGAATTCATACTTTAAATTATTTGTATTTTCCATGAACTAAAAAATGAATAAAATTCCTGGCTATTTCATTTATAATTATTCTCACCTCCCTAGAGATACACATGCGGACAAGTTATGACTTGGGAATTCAGAGCTTCTCAAACTGTACATTTTGTAGCATTTTACGATAGAAATTGGCGTTTCAGTAATGCATTTTTATCTTTTGGATTGCAGCACCATACTTTTACATGCAAGCTTTGATTGGGTGCCTCACCTGTTTCCCTCTCCTGGCCAGTATCACCACTCGCTATACAGTGATTGGATCATGCACCTGCATTTTGTACTCCTTAACATGGTAGGTCATCCCCTTTTATACTTTATTTAGTCTTAAAGTACAATACAAGTGCTTGACAGGGTCTGTCTAGGTCCTACTTCATATCCCTCCCTAAATTTTGTTTTTCCCCACTACACATGGCTGTTATATTAATTCAAAGACATTCTCTTTATTCTAGCTGAAAAAGATACGAGTTGGACGATACCACTGGCAGGTCTACTGCTTAAAAAAAAATTACTGTCTGTCATTTCTGTCTGCCTTTCTTTCTTTTTACCTGCTTAAAGTGATTGCTTTAGTAGCAATGCTAATTGTAGGTACAGTGGATTCTATACTTGTCTTACCTAATTTTTAGGAGAAGCTTTTTATGCTGGCAGACTCTTTGATGTGATGGGGACTTCACTTAAAGTGGACTCTGTATAAAATCAGTTTTTGGTATGATGTATCTCTTTTTGTGTCCCTCTGACGATGTTAAAAAGAATGTATGAAACTACAATGATGATTTTTTCTTTTCAAATTGTTTGTTTAATGTTCTCTGTGCCCCCTCAACTTCATCTACAGCAAAATTTACAGCTGTTCTAGATGCATCCTTTGTTTACAAGTACAAGTTGCCTCAGAAGTTGATTAAATTGATGTGGTGATTTTTTCCCAGGGGAGGACTCAGTATAGTTCAGACTGTGAAGGAATTTGGTGAAGCTAGAAACAGATCAACATTTGCAATATTTGCAACATTTGGCCTTTCTGCACCGGTATGTGGTGGTTTATTATTTAAATTTCTTGTCAAACCAAAGTGATGTAGAAAGTGCAACGATTTTCTAGAAAAAGAGCCAAATATAATGTGAAATGATGTAAAGAAAAAAAAAGAAGAAAAGTGAAGGTGATTTTGACTTCAGGTAAATGTGATGTCAGGTTCCCCAAATTGGGAGTTTGATTGTTTGTTTTTTTGAGAAACTTTCAACTTGCTTTGATAATTCTAACATCAGTTTGAAAATAATTAAAAACAATAAAAAATAACAGGGTGAAAGAAGTTTCAAGTTGATTTGTTTGCCTTTTCTTTTACAACGCATCCTTGGTCTCTTCAGATATTGCTTGCAAGTGCACATCTGATCAAGAAAGAATTTTAAAAAAATTCTTCTCTTAGTAAACAATTAGAAGTACCTTCGAAAGCAATGCCCGAGGTTCGACTAGACAATTGTAATTTTTTTGGCAAGCTGACCCGTGCCCACTCATATTGTCAATTTCAGGCCAAGTGAAAGAAGTTAGCAAAACAAAGATCCTTACTATTACGTTTACACCACAGATGCATATATAGGAGAGAGTTGAGGCTGATGAGTCTTGCTGGCAAAGTTGAATTGCTTATTTCTCTTTATCTTTTTTCTAGTCTGAAAATGACACTGCAGCCATTGCCTTGTTGAAAGGAGAGGTGGTGATGGGGAATACACCGGTCATCATGTGTTACCTGGGCCTTATCCTCATCTCATTGTGGAATCTCTACCATTCTTTTGTCAGCCGCACCTTTGTCAGTAAGGTTTGTGACACACTACATACTTATACCTTGTAGGTTGAACCCTCAGTGTGTGTTTGAGAGGTGAGGGAGAGTGAACGAGGATGAACATATGTGTTGTTAGAAAGGGGAAGGGGTTTGTATCCCACTTGGATATTGAATTTGCAAACTTTATCAAGAAGGTGGTTGATCCATGTTGTTGTTTAGGATGGTTATCTTTTCACTGAAACTTTATGCACAAGTATATAAATATACTCATTTTTGTTCCTTTTCTTTTGCCAGAGTACTTGACTTAGTGGGAATAAAGCTTTAAAATTCTACAACATACTTATCAGTTTATTTCTTTTTAGGGCCTGATATGTTACCACTATTAAAAGTGTTCCACCTTCTACTGGAGTGCAATAGAACTATCCCACTGAGGAGGGGAGGGGAGTATAAGTGAAGTTATATGAGCCTTTGAACAATCTACGAAAAGACGACAAATCAAGCTGGTCTCAGTAAAACAATGGGGTGTTAAACTGATGTGCCTCATGGAAGTTTTAATCCGTATGTGGTATGAATTACTTGTTCTGATCCTTTTTGTAATATTTTCTCTCATTTGGTGTTCAAATGCAAGACCAAGTGCTCTACCTTTGAAATTGCCTACATTTTGTCTGCTAGTGACGTTCCATACTCCAACAGAAGAAATCACAATGTAGAGTGTAGAGTCAGTGGGCATGTCATTAGCTGAGTTGCTGTCATGCTGGACTTTAATGTGAATGTCGCAGGTTTTATTTCCTTGTGGGGGGATCCTTAGACAGGTTGTTTTGGGAGTTTTCAAGATTTTCTCTACCAGCTTGGCTTGGTTCAATCGGAGATGGATGCTGAATTGAGAGATCCAACCTCTTTAATAGTCTTTGAGTGTTAATTAGGGCATTTCCACCACAGCCTACAGTTTAAAGTCTCTTTTTTTTCTCTTTGTTTCAGCGCCAGGAGTGCACAGTTTGGCCCCATCAGGAGGCTCATGTCAAGTGGTTGCTGAGCCGATCGAAAATCCAAGCTCATTATTTGTCGTCATCATCTTCATCATCATCCAGACCGTCTTTCATCAGTGAAATGTATGTTTTGTAAAATTAATTGATTTGGTCAAATGAGGACTTTGTAGAGTTTCATGTTTGCTGACTTCGTCTTTGATTCAAGACCATTAATTATATCTTCATCATCTTGATCATCACTATTGTTATCTGCATTTCGGTATCAATTGAATATCTGCTACTAGTTTCATAACTTTTATCATGGAAAAAGAATGAACTTGTGGACATATTTGAAAAAAAAACGCCCCAAACTTTGAAGCTTTTCAATTTCCATTCCACTTATACAGTGTGTGTATGGAGGGTTTGAATAAATGGTTTTCTGATGCTCCAACTGGAATTTGGAGTCTTGCATGCTCCATAAATTGAAGAAAAAAATTCTCTATTGTTCACATAGATTTGTGAGTGAAGTTTTCTTTTACTGTATCTTTAGCCAAAGCTTTTTCGTATCTCAATAGTTTTTTTTTACATGTACTCCTCCGTCTTCTTATCCTCTTTGTCTTCTTCCTCCTAATGCTGTTGTTAATTCTTTTCCAGTTTATTTTTGTACTGTGCTCCCCACTCAATGATGGGCCAGTCGACTGTCAGGTTCTCCGTCAATTCTTATTCCAAATAATTTATGTATTTAGGTCTATTTTCTTGCCAGAGAATAATGTTTTTAGCATTTCAGGCTGCCACATGCCTAATTTCAAAAGATTTAGACTTACGATATTTTTCTCAGTATTTGGGTTATATTCTTTGTCGTTCAACTTGTAAAATATTTGTAATGTACACAGTGTGCACTGGGGATTTCCAAGTTTTATTACTCTTATCAAGTGGAAGATGAGTAAGTACTGTTCTGCGTCTCACTTGATCTTGAATTTAGAGATGAAGAATAGTAGATAAAGTACTAAGTTGTCTCTGGATCATGCCTGCACATGGAGAGGCAAGCACAGTACCGTAAACTGACAAGTCTTACTTTTAATTGCAAATAAAACCTCCCTTGGTTTTTGTTTAATTTTTCTCTAGGATAAAGGGAATGTGTGAAACACTCGTTCCTGGGATAGTAGCTTTTTTGCCTAATTATTAATATACTTGTACAGTCAAACCTGCTCCAATAGCCACTTGTCCAAGTCCAAGGCAGTCACCTGTACAAATGACCTCTTCCCACTCTCTCCCTTGAATTTTTTTTCATTATAATGACTCCGTCCAGGATGTCCACTTGTCAAAGGCAAACCACTTTCCTCCTCGACAATTGGTGGCCGTCTTGGACAATTTCTACTTTATAATACAGTCAAACCTGTGTAAGACGGCCTCCCATTGTCAAGGAGAAAAGTAGCCGTATAAGACAAAGCCCGTCTTAGGCAGGACTGATCAAGATGAAGCAAACAAACCATTCCCTTCTGAGGTCCCAATCGAAAGTAGCCGCATTGCTGTTGATTTTGCTGTTGTTGGTTTGTATTTTGTTTGTTATTTTTATTTTGTTGCTGATTTTGCGCAAGGGTGACAATAAAACGAAATGTATCAGACGAGGAAGACCGAGTGCCAAGTTAAAACAAACACATGGGTCGCCTACACTCGGAGAACGAGCAACACTTCTGTCACAAGTTCATGTTGACGCCCATTGTTACTTTGTTACAGACTGGGTAAACAGTGACCACTAATCTCATTTACGATTTGTGTTTTTGTTCTGGGCGGGGCTTATGGGTTATGAGGGATCACACGCTTACCTCACCAGCAGTTGAAAATTGGTAGCTATTGGTCAATAGTGGGAGGAGCCTACGCAACATGATCGGTTTGAGGGACTACCTAACAACAATGACAGGGGATTGAATTATGACGGCTCGCCCACAACGCCAGGGGCCAATGCATAATTTATGACAAAACGTAATGAAGTCACTAAGGTGGCTGTCTAAGACAGGTGTTATTGTTTGGTGTGATAGGGGTTGTGTGTTAAAATATGGTGGCCGCGGCCGCGTTGGACAGGTGCCCGTTTTACACAGTGAAATTATATCGAAAAAAACGCAAGGGGGGAAATGAATAGTGGCTGTTTGTACAGGTGGCCGTCTTATAGAGGTGGTCGCCAGGGCAGGTTCGACTGTATTTGGTCGTAAAAAAATTGGGAAAAATTAAAATTTTAAAGAGAAATCCGTTTTGAAGAGTAATTGTTTTTCAAAATCTCTTCACTGAAATTGATTTTTTTCTGTTGCTCTCTACTCAGGGAAAAGAATACACGTCTTCGCTTGTTCAAGAATTACCCTTTTTTTCGGTATCCCACAAAAATTCTTGTTATGGCTTTTGTACAGCTCAACGTGATATACTGGGTGAGTATGAGCAGTATGGTAAGAGAACTCATCCTTCTCTCTTCCTTCTTCTTTTCCTTCCTTTTATTCTGTCCTCCTCCTTCTACTCCTTATCCTCTAGATTTAGTTTTTGCTTATGCAAGGCATAACTTCAGTACACATAAGTACCCTGTGGTGTCTCAGAAAAAGTACCATGCAGTTGTTTGGGGGAGGGGGGAGGGGGGTAGGGCTACATTTTTTTGATCAATTGGTTGCCATAATGTTTCAGTGTACATGCATATCTTGTTTTTTATGTGGCGGAAGAAAGGGCATTTTTTTGTTGGCAGCTGAGTTTTTGTGTCGTCTGCAGATTAGATGAGTGCTGAAGAGGCATTAAAGTCATTCCATAATTTCTGGAAACTCAGAAACTTAACTCTGAATAAAAAGGATATTCACATTATCAAGGTTGAAATTGATGGAACTAAATTGTCTGCTGCCCATATAACGTTCTATAAGCTGTATCAAGTGTGTTATTTCATTCTTCAACCTCAGTGGGAAGGGGCTACCTAGAAAACTCACTGATTACCATAGAGGAAATGCAACCTCTCTGAAGATGAATTGAAATGTATTGACATGTTTGCTCAGATATACGTGCTTGAAATTTACTCTGTGATCTTGTCTCAGCCTTTTTCCTTTCTCTTCCTTTTCCTAACTCATGGCCATTGCCCAGGGTCTCATTCTCCCCCTTTGAAGCGATTTCTGTCCAGGATGGTGTTTAACTCATATAATGGAAAAAAAGATCTGTCTGCAAGCAGATATGTTTCTCAAATGTCACAGCAGAGAAACTGAAAGAACACACAATGTCCCTGCCTGCGACCGGTAGTCATGACCAGTTGTTTATTTGTTCTCAGATGATGACACTACTGATTGTTGCTATAGTGAGGATTTTAGAGACTTACCTCTCGAGCATTGTTCCGGGCGATGAGTCACAGCGTGAGGTTTTTGCTATCATATCAGGTGAGCATAGATTCCAACTTTTTACTGAATAGGCTTTGAGTCGATTGAGGATCTACTGCTCCATACTGTTGAGTAGACAGAAGCTGAATGAATAGTATTACAGTGGAGTCCACTTAAACTGAACACAGTAAATCTGGAGACAATAGCAACCTAAAAAAAAAAATTCCCTATTTTTTTTCTCTTTTTTTTCCCCCCTAAAAAAACCCTACCAATTTGCCAAAATTCTCCCATTTCTAAACCGAGAAGACTTTAGGAGGTTATGTTGTCTAAATAAAGTAAATCATCAAGTCTTGCTTGCTTTAAGATAGCGAAACAGAAGAAAGAGACACTTGAACACGATGTGTTTCGATTGAGGGCCAGAGAGAGAGACCTCGCTAGAGTACTTTTTTCCTGTTTATTTCACACATCAATAGGCCTAGCAATACAAGGACAACAAACAGGTCTGTTGTGTGACTTCTGGTTAAACATGATCTACTATTGTCTCTCCGAAGGTAGTTTACATAGACTTACATAATGAGCATGTGACAGCACTTGTTTTTCATGACGTCACTGGCATTGGGTTTTCTAAATTGTGTCTTACTTTTCTATCTACTCTTTTGTCTGTTCTGTGTGACTGTTCGGCAGATTATGTAAGTTGACGATGCTGAAGAGAAAAGAGAGCTTAATGTGCACAACCTGCAGCTTAAATTTGAGTTACTGAAAGATAAAGATGAGAAAGAAACTTTCAAAAAGTTAAATTTGCTGCAAGTATGGTTTTCCCAACTCTATGCTATTGACAGTTATAGCTATTTGAGCATCAAGCTCTATAAACTGACAACTGGGCTAAACAGAAGAAAGTGAAATGGTCGTTCATATTTTGGTTTAAGCAATCTCACACTGTGTTTACTCTCTGAAGACTGCGGTCCGGGCTACCAAATATTTGGAGGAACCAAGCGAATGTAAGGCATTAAAAAAAAAATTGTAACACTTTTATTAACAAACTAGTTCTCTTATATCTTAGATGTTTTGCATAATTAAATTTCTTTTTAGGAAAAAACTCATAATGAACTGTTCCAAATGGTTTTAGGTGCTGTATATTTGGCAATGTTAGACCAAAAATAATTTACTTGAACAGATGGGTGAAGAAAGAAGACCGAAGACCAGGACAATATAGATTTTTCGAGAGCATTCGAGCAAAGAAATAAGTGGCTAACCATGATCTGGCACTTGAAGGTGAAGAATATATGGATATCTCTCTCTCTCTTGGGTGGCACATATTTTTCTTCTTCATCTAATTCATAAAACTCTGAGACCAATCCAGACTCCTAGAGTCATCATTTAGCTCAAAAGCATAGAAAATATTCTGTTTTGAATTCTTCATAGATGCCAGCGACACCATAATATAAACTTAAAGAACAACGATTGATTTGGTAACTAATACTAATATCACTAAAATGAAAAAAAAGTAACTTTCCCTAGCCTGCCGTAGTGAAACATTCATAAGAAATTAACTTTTCATGCAGACTGCTCTTTACAGTCCTGTTATAAGATGAAAAGATTCAGCTGATTACCTCTGCCATCAGATATTTTAGGCTAGCTATAACTTGATTGTTGCAAAAAAATTTAGAATGTAGAAACGCACACTTGAAATAAATTTTCTCTGCCTGTGTCATTAGAAAATTTCAAGAGAGGGATAGTTGCCTTAATAAAAGTGAGCTAAAGGACCTGTGACACCCTTAAAATGGAATGTTTGTCTTTTAAACTTGATCCCTATAATTCTTGTAATGTAAACAACTGTACCATGCTGTAACCAGTGTTGGTGATATTCAAGACTTTTATCATTTAAATCATCAGCACCTTGGAGACTACCTTTGATCTGTCCCTCTTCTAGTTCAATCATCTGTATAGAAAGAAAAGAGTTTCAACTCTATTATAAAGATGACTTCAGGGCTACACGTCTAAACAGCAGTTGTAGTCTGGGTTGAGGAATCTACAGTGGACGACTGCTTAGATTTAGCTGGGGAATGCTTATTCAGAAGATGAGAAAGAAAGAGAAAGAGCATGAGCATGAGAAGAAGAGGGTTGAGATTGTGTGGGAATGTGAAATGGATGTATTTTGATTCGTTCCCAGGGTGCTCTCTGTTCTCCTTAGCTGCGTCCATTAGCGTAACAGGTTGCCAGATTTTTATAGCCATCCGAAGTTACAGGTACGTTGTCTTGTTTTGATTTTGCTGTTTTGATTTCTTCTTGCTCTATTCACCTCTTAGCCTAGAACACACAGGAGGACACAGTCCATCGCTCCTCCAATGCTGGTGCAGTGTCTGTTATATGCTATGGCCTCGATCTCTCTAGCAGCGGTGGCATCTTTTCTCTGTACTTACTTTTCTGGCCAGTGTTCTTTCATGGTGATCTTTCAACAGATGTTCTGGTCCAGCAAAAAGAAGCAATGTCAGATTGTTTTGTTTTTTAATAGCAGGGATAAAGTTTGTATTTTTTTCCTTTTGTTAATGACCTAGTCCTCATAAAAGTACAAGTATTTTAATTTAGTTTTTAGGGAGTAGTTTTGTATCCTGGAAAAAATTGCTCAACAACTGATGTGCAACATGTCTCACTGCATACAGGTTTGCTTTTGGCTGGTGTTTAACATGATCAAGGTCTTGAAGCTAGAGAATATATTGCTCTTTAGATTGTTCCCCAATAGTAAAAAGCTTCGTTCTAGTGTCTGACTTTGTTGATCTGCTTTAACAGGTATCATATGCTGAGAATTTATGCTGGTGACCGGTCCTTCATGCCTAAGATTGTGGAGACGCCACAGGTTATTCTGGTAGGTTGCCCATATCATGGTGTCTGAACAAACTTTGAGTTTTGTCATAAATTTAGCAGACATGCTCCCTTTTTTTTCCTAATGTTTCTAGTTCTGTGCGATATGTAACTTAACAATGGATAATCTCCAGGTTAGCAATAAAAGCCCTTTCAAAGGAACAAGCATTACATAACGCTCAAACTAATCATTGAATGTACTGTTGATAGTGAGGATATTTAAAGATTTAGAAAGTCTCAAATGTTTGAAAATTTCAGTTGAATGGGGGCAGGGGTAAGGGGGTAAGGGTTGCTTGCCCTGATCCTGAGTTGGCTTATCTTCGATAATATGGACATCATAAAGTTTTTTACTCTCATACTTGAAAAGAACCCCTCCCTTCTGAATGCATCTTGCAGTCTTGTTTTATATATGAAATTTTAATGGGGGTAGGTGGTGGTATTGATATAAATTACTATTATTTTCACTCATTGCTGATTATTTAAGGGAATCTCTTTTATGACATGCTTGATCGAACAGTGTGTTTATGATAACAATCATGATGACAATGGGTTTTTTTTATACATGGATGAGAATGATGCAAACAATACTCAGGGGGGCTCTCGTGGCCTAGAGGTTAAGGTGTTGGCCTCTCATTCAAAGGTCCCAGGTTTGAAACCGGGTAACGACCAAAAAATTTTCTTCTCTGAAATTGTCTCCTTTCATCTCCTTTCCTGCTCTCTAGCAATGTTCTCTCGTCTGCTTTCGTCTACTCTTTCTGCCTCACTCCCCCTCACCTCCTTTGACCCCTCCTCTGGGCTCCTGACTCTTTCTGCAGCCTTTCTACTGCTATATATAATACGCCTTGGCTCCTTCTTACTGCTGTCTTTCAGCCACACCCTGATCTTCTGGTAAGAAAAAAATACACCTGGCCTTCTTGGACAAAGGTGAAAAATCTCGACGGACCCGTGTGCAAGTTGTGCATCTTAAAGATCCCTTGGTGTTCTAAAATCGATAAGAGTAGGCTTCGGCCACCACACGGGCAAAATTTCCTGCCAACTAAAAGAGTTTAATGTGTCCCGCGTGCTCATATGACATTATGCAGTTGCAAGCACCATAAAACACTTACCAAGAAAAAACAAAAAAACCTAGTACTCTTAGACTCTCACATTCTCTTGTTTCAGACTAGAAGTATGTCATATCCAGGATACCAAGTGGCCTTTGTTATGTGGGGTAAGTGATCTCAGCTGATAGTTCCTCTTGCTAATTGATAGAATAGATTTTTCAAGCCTCTTTGTACTGTTTTAATTTTTTTAAGTTGGCCTGGCCTCCAGATGTACTCATGAAATTCTATGTACTTACTTGGAGGAAATGTAGAATTTGTCAGTATCTTTAGAATTTTCTAACTTCCTCAACATCCCAAAATGAGTCAAAATTGATCTTGGTCTTGACTAGAATTGTGGGTACATTAAAAAAAAGTGTCTCTTTCAGTCTCTCTCATGTATCCTCCCCATGTGTTCACTAAACAATAATGATAATATTTGTAATGATAATGACAATGATGGTTTTAAAAAAATGATGATGATAGGCATAGGCTGCAGACAAGAGGTCCCCACACATCCTGTTCCTGGGCCAGTTTCTCCAGTTTTCTCCACTTATACCCCAACCTCTTTGCATCCCCTGCCACCTCTCAGTGCCATGTGTTAATAAAATAATGCTGATACTAATATTAATTATGATTTTAATCATTAGTAGTTGTGAATAATAATACCAAATGAAAACTTTGCTAAAATTATGATTTTTGAATAATAATAATAATAATTTTAGAGCACTTTCCTCTGATAGTCAAGTTAAATGTTCTTTTTATTAAACAGGAATATCATAATTAGATGATGATGGGCACAAAACATAAGATGAAGACCAATGCAGCACACACTGTGTCATCTATCATGGTGACGGAATAACTTCGACTTTTTATAATATTTGTTCATTATTCTTTATCATTTCGTCAGGTTTTGTCATAAGTTTTGTGGCACTGATGCTGATCACCAATGGCTTGAGCTTGACCATATATTACCTGAGCTACAGTGATTTACTCGCTGACACAGCTCTTAATCTTGTTCAGCTGCTCAGGTATGTTCTGTAGGTGTTTATGAACCTTTTGACTGCTAACCGTATATGCACCCACATGCAAAAAAAATTCAAAACCACAGTGTCACAATCTATAATTAATGGTTATTCGCTTTTAAAAAGGAACAGTTTGGTAAGACTATAGAAAAATAGAAAGAGAAATGAAAAGATGGTTTCATCCATTGACAAGACCTTTGTAGAACAAGCCATAATGATGTGAACAAGTTAAAAGTACTAAGACTAAACTAGTGCTCTAATTCAACACTTTGGCTCTGTCTCACATAGTGTTTGTAAGAAATAAGAACAAACAAACGCCTCACTTTGTTTTATTTGTCACAGAGCTCACTCTTCCTGTCAGACCATATTATATCAATAGAAAGAGAATTGAAGAGATGGCCTTATCCATTGACTATCAGGTAGAACAACAAGTCATAAAGATGTAAACAGTTTGAGAGTACTGATCTTAAACAAGAAATCTTGCATGATGTGTGTTAGGAAGTCAACACATCTCGCTTTGTTTTAACAGTTATAGAGACCACACTTCCCATCAAGTAGTCTATATCTATATGATCTCATAGCTAAGGTGAAGATTTTTCACGGGATGTTGCTGTCTTTATTTGAAAGTTGGTAGTAACCAAGATATTAACGAAACAAAACTCGGCAGGTTTACACAGGCGTTGGAGATTCATTTACAGGGCCCTGTCCCTTGTCACCATGGCCATGTACGTTGTGTGTTGGTGCCCCACTCAGAACAGGCCTCCATCTTCCTCGGTCTCTGCTTTGCTCTATTCTATTATCTATTTGTGGTGGCCGAATTTTGCTATTCAAAAGGCTTTTTAATGGGTGCATCGATCGACATGCGGTTTTCGCCAAAAAATTCTTTAAAATATTCTCCAGAGCATGGCGCTCTTGGTTTTTTAAGTTTTGAGACAGTTTTGCTGCAAAAAGCAAAATTTCTTTATTTCTTTGTTTGCCCGGCTTTTGTAGGCCGACGCTTCTGTCTCTGTAATTTTAGAAAATCCGGAAGTGATATTTCGCGAAGTGTGTTTTGTTTTGAGAGTATAGACCTAGACCTTCTCATTGTTTACATCTCTCAAGATTTATTGCCCCATTCCATTAGAGCGTAAATATGGTAGGAAAATGACTTTTAGTTGATATTAAAGCACCGGCCTAGACGGTCTGAGGACGGTTAGTATAAGAATGTAAAGGCACCGCCGATCATTCCTTTCATCGAAAGGGGGCCCAGCTAGTATTTCATAAAGTTGTAGACTACTGTCGGATTTTACGTTTTCAATGTATGGGGTCAGTGTGAGTGAGTTCAAAGTCTATGCATTCAGTTAAGTAATGAACTTGTTGTTTTACTCTGCAGTTTTCCTGCTACAGTTTTGCTGTTTTTCTACCTGCAAGTATTATTGACCAAGAAAGTTTTGATGCAGGAGAAAGTCAAGGAAAATGATGAGAACAAGCCACTCAATGTAGATAACAGGTATGTTCTAATTTGTCAGATTTTTTCCCTCTCAAGACTGTCTTTATATTGCTTCTCAATTATTCTATTGCAATATCATGTCAAAAGTAAATAAACATGCTTATATGCAAGTTTTTCACTTAAAGAATCCTTGACAGTTCTAAAATTGAAAAGTGTAGACTCCTAAGGCAGCTGTCCAGGCATAATTCAAAATTAATTCCTACCCATAACTGAAGCCACTCTTTTCAGTATAAACATTAGGAGTACCTTAAAAAATGGTACGTGGCTGCCTGTCAAGCTAGGGATGATTCTTCTTCTTTCTACATAAATAAATCAAGTGCATGTTGAGATGAAGATCTTATGTCAGTTACCCCTTGAGCTCTAGCAGGGGTATGCAGAAGAAGTGTCCGACCATTACTGAAGATGTTATAGTGCAAGATTTGAAATAGATTTTGACTGTCTTGGCCTTCTATTCTCTTAGTTAGTGTCTTTGAAAAACTCCTGAGTCTGAGTGTTGATTGCTATTATTGCAGCATGGGTCTTGGAATTTTTGAAACACACAAACCACAATGCGAAGCTGAACAGCACAAAATCTGACACCTTCCTTTGTAACACTGTTGGTCCACAGAACTATATGTGTTTTGTCATCAGTTTTGTATACAATGTATACCAATGATTATAGAAGTATGAAACAACAAACTTATTAAAAATTTAGGCCGGTGCTAGGCGCCCGACCTAAGTTGGCTAGTGTCAGGCTGTTCGGTCGAGCACCTAGCACACCTCTGTGATTCGTCAAAAATAGATCATAGATGATGTTTTTCCGCCATCTATATTTGTCATCTTCCGAGGTTTTCCTTGCAAGTTGACTAGATCCCCTAGATCTATAACCCTTTATTATTTAATTATTATCATACATCGGAATGCCGGTAACAAAGTTACTAACAATAGAAATGCAGCGTCTTGACGTTATCAACGATTGTGTAACTACTACCAAGATCTTTCAATTGCCCTATCTTGCGTCCGAACGAGACTTGGGCACTAGATCTACCTTGTCTTAGTGCATGACGGCCCGTGATGCGAGTGTAAACAAACGTTACAGCACTGAGTTGAAAGCGAGAAATTTTGTCTACGGGCAAAGAGAGAAAGAGAGAGAGGAGGGGGAGGGGGAGAGAAAAAAAGAGAGAGAGTGAGAACGAGAGAGAAAGAAAGAGAGAGAGAAAAGGGGGGGGTTGTTGTTAGAATGACTGATTCCTGTCGTTTTCTCGTGGCAGCATCCATACTTCACAAAAGAATACACCAACCTATCCGTGTCTCTTTCGGACATTCTCATTTCTTCACATAGTTTCAAGTTTTCTGTACTGATGTTTTTGCAATCTGCAATTTCAAATGGTTCATGTGAAAAGTGGCAAAATTTTAGAATTATTTCACTCAGGTGTCTAAAACTTTGGAAAGTCTTTCCCACTTATAATTCAGGTGCTATGTTGATCGATCCGACTCTTGACTTGGAGGACAAGGAATGACTGAGTGACTGAATCTAGCACGATTCATCACATGATTTTTAAAGGAGCATGCGCAGAAATCCCCATAAGCCAGAAAGCCGTAGGCTAGGCTAATCGACCGAATTTGTTTGCCCGGAACATGCGCAGAAATCCCCACGGACCAGTAGCGCCAGGCTAATCAACCAAATTCGGTCGAGTAGCCTGACGCTAGCCACCCGAAATGGGGCGACTGGCCACTCCGTAAAATTTACGGATGAATATGCTATAATTAGACTAAAATACCTCAATGAAAAAGAGTATCTTACCTGAAGAAATATGTATGTTTTTTAATGGTGCTATTCAAATTCTCTCAAAGTGAACCTCTCAAAGACAAGAAATGATTTTTTTTAAATTTAGAAAAGATAAGACCAACAGTTCCACCTCTTGTAATTGAATGAGCGACAATTGCAATCATGGATTTTACAGATAATTTGGTCTCACAATCAACAACAAATTAACTTGGCAAAATCGCGTGAACAATATTCATATTGTTTAAAAGGTAAATCAGAGGCTGTACTTTCTGAAGAAAGTTAGTTCCTTCTAACTGAATACATCCATCCTGTAACTATTTTACACCTCGATTATGAAGACTTTATTCAGTTTTGGTATCTTACTGTGGTAAATATAAAAAAAAAAAAAAAGAGCATGTCATAAAAATAACTTTAGATCTCTGTACAAGACAAATGTTTTTAAAAAGTGGAAATAGCGCTTTAAAAAAGACTAAAGCCTCCCACTGACATAGGAACTGCAATTATAGACCCACATTAAAAGATTTATTCCCAACTGCAGTGAGCTTACTGAACACACAGTGCTACAAATGAGAGAGAGAGAGAGAGAGAGAGAGAGAGAGAGAGAGAGAGAGAGAGAGAGTTGTAGGACTTTCATTTTCCTGGTTTTGATAATTTATATAAAAATGTTCAGCTTGTTTTCGGTTTCATCTTGATGATGTGGTGCGTTGGAACAAATAGTTCTACTCTTAAAAATTCTTGTTGTTGTAAAAACCTTTGCTTGGGTCATTTCATGAAAAGTCAGGAGTCAGCTTGTTCTGTAAATAGTAGAAGTAGGCCAAATTTTGCATCTTAAAATTTTTTTTTAAATTTCAAGCAAAGGTTTTTGCTAGTTGAAAAATTGTCCATAATATAAGCCAGTTGCATGGTTAGAGATAGAGGATGATATGGTCAAAGTGCTTTCCTTTCTTATTTCTGTACTCAAAATTTTTGGCATTGATTTCATTCTATTGTTTGTAATGGTTTTTGTTTTTTGTTTTTGTTTCAGGAAGTTCTTTGAAATTGTCAACTTTTATTCCCTGTTCACCAACATGGCAGTGGGACTATTCACCTGTTTGTTGCGGATTCTGAAGAGTGCCTTCTTTGGTATATTTACTGTCGGGAGACTTGATCACAGTGTGTTCACCAGAAATCAGGAGAGCTCAGATAAGGGTCAGCTTTGAGATTATGGAATCTTTAAAGTACTCTCTAACAGCTAGACAAACTGCTTGTTTTTTCTTTCTCCTTTAAAAGAATCATCAGGTATAAGTTTTCATGGAAAAATATTTAAATTCGAAGATAAAGGAAGTAAAGATTGTGTCGTAGTATCCTTACATTTGTGTTTATAAATTTAAAGTTTCAACTGTCTTCCTCATGATTTTGACAGCCGATCCGAAGCAGCATGATATATGAAGAAAAATCCAAGTAGCTGGACGAGACAGTTTGCTTAGCGCCACTTCTAGAGTAGAGATATGTGTTTCTGTCTTATGGAAGATACCTATATTGATTGATTTTAGTGATGTCCTGCCTTAATTTGGCTGGATTCATGTGAAGTGGTGCTCTGATATTGTTAATGATTTAGCCTCTCCCACTTTCAAGGTTTCTGTGCCCCACAATTTCAGCAATTGTAGACCTTTAATAATGCTTTCAGTTTGTGAATCTGAGGCAGTATACACTTCTCAAAACTGGTTTCTGCTTGTTAAAAGTAATAGTTGCTGATTAAAGTTTTTGTGTGCGCTATGAGCCAAGATATTGAAAGGGTACTTTTAGTTGGTGTTAAAATATAAAATAAAATTTCTTTCACCTAACTTACAAAAGTGATGTGTACTTCTAGGTTTCAAGATCTATTTGTCCGTGCTGCTTGTAGACAACGCCCACAACAACCCCACTATGCGAGTGTTTGCCCACCTTCTGTGGACTAAAGTCCTGTCCACACGATATGTCCAGAATTGTCCAGGAATGGACCCTGAGGAAGACAGTAAGGAAGACAGTGAGGAAGATAGTGAACTACTGACAGGAGAGAGACTGTCGGCTTCTTTGAGTCTGGTAACGCCAGATAGTCCCACTTCCCTATGGACGTCCGTGGATATTTCTGGTAAGAGAATGGGCTAAATACTTACATAAGAGTTTTTGTTTTACAAAGTACTTGCCAAGAAGGGGGAAACTCCTCCCTTAAACGCTAACAATTTATAGTGCCCACTCCAGCTCCCTTAACTAATGAGTGTTAACTCCCTCCTTGTCAAGTATCAAGTGTCTTTGTCTTACCGCTGGATGTAGTATCCAATGCATCCAAGATTGGCCTTCACAGGCTGGGTAAAAGCAGCCTGTCTCTGAATGATCTAAATTGTGTTGATAGGGATGTGAAACATTTGCAGAAAGAGGAAAAAGATACTGAGGTCCTTTTCCAGTGTTGGAGTTCTGGAGTTCTGGCATGGTCTTTTATTCAGATTCTGGAATTGTGAAATCGGCACTTCTGTGTTTTATTGTCTGCTGATAGTTTCTCTTCTCTGGTGTGGTGTTTTTTCTGGGGGGTTTTCAGCATTGCTAATGTTCTCTTTAGTGCTGAAGTGTGGTTTCCAATACCAGTGGCTTACTTGAAGATTTCTCATATGTTATGCTGTGTATACCTTCTTCAAGTCTGCTAGGGAATTTTTACAAAGACTTTTGAATCACATGCTTGAACGTATTTTTTTCTGTTGAAGTCAACTTGCGTTTATAATTTCTGTTGGGCAGTTGAACATTTTTAAGAGAAAAGAGTACTGAACGTTGTTGGAATGACTGCAGCCTTTTATTTTAATGACCGTCTTTGTAGTGTAATGCAGATGGACCAAAGTGAGGCCAGACCTGAATGCGGCCATTTCCTGGTGCTTAACACGCTCGCTCTTCTCAGAGTGTCTTCCCTTTAGGTCAACAAAACTTTCAAATTTCTTTCTGCTGTTCTACTCTTTGAAGATGGTGTCAGTTTTGACATGTTTTATTTCGAGCTTCCTTGACTTGGCCGTTGATGTTTTTGGGTGGGTTGTTTTAACCCTATTTGTCTTGTTGATATGGGAAGATTTTGGAATGGCAAAAGAAAGAATAGAAGTAATAAGCCTCAAACGTTTTGTGCATGCTTGGAATATATTATGCTTGAATCATTTTCCGTGGAGAAACATGGGTGGCTTTGCTAAAGTAAAGATAATTTCATTGTCTGATCTAGTGCAGCTGGGCATGGCTGAGTTGAAGGCAATGCCCAATAGTTTTGACATGAAAATGGCCAACAGAAAGATAGTTTTAAAGGAAATCTTAACATTGTTTTCACCTCTTTGTTAATATGAACTTGATATATATTTCTTATTTTCTCTTTTCGTTCTTGTTACTCCTAATATCAGACCGTGTGAAGTCAAGACGTGCGAGGACAAGATGGGTTTTGGCCTTCACGTTGATCAACAATCCTCAGCTACAGAAACTGAGAAAGCATGCCCTTGCTTATGATTTAATGTTGTCGACGCGAAGATCTGAACTTACTGACACGGAAGGTGATGAGGGTTTGGAGAGTATGGAGCGGAACAACCTCACTGGTATTCTCATTGACTGCTCTGTGGAGGAATCTGAGAGTCATCAGAGAGAGTTGGATGGTGAACCACCGGAGACGACTCCCATTTCATTATTGTGAAGACACTGCTGGAAGCTGGTCTGATTTTGTTCGACGACATTTACATCATTTTAGAGTACTATAAAGCTAACAGCTGTTCTTATGTGCTTCATTTCTGAATGTCACGACAAAAAAGGAAATATTTTTTATTTATATAAAAACAACCCATATTTGACCAGCAAATGTCATTCACTTTGTTAATGATAAGAATGATAATTGCATTTATATACTTTGTATTACATTTATATGTGAGGCATCATGGTGAAATTGGGCTTGTCAAAACAATAAAATCCGATAAAAATCAGCATTTTTGGGCCAGTTCGGAAACTGTTTTCGAATTTTTGTTTTTTAGCTCAATGCCTTGTATGTCCATCCAAAAACACTATTATGTGTGTGTTTTTTTGAAAAACATTGATTAAAGGCACAAAAAAAAAGTAAATTTGCAGTTTCCAAGGACTCTTAAGCTATGAAAGTCACCAAACTTTGATGGCCATTTTCTCACTAATTTTATTTCTGAAACCAGGAGAGCCCACCTCCTTCAATTGCAAATATCTCGACTTCTATTCTAGATAAATGGATATTTTTTTCTTAGAAAGCGAGGCAAATGAACAACCTTTAAGATGATACAAATAACTCCATATGCCCAAAAATTGACGAGTGCCTGATTCTACTGCGCTGTGACACATATAATATATATTCTGTTGCTTTTGTTGTTTATGTATGAAAGCCATTCTTAAAAGATGAACATGGCTGGAGTGGCTCTCTTTCTCCATCATGACAAACAATGCAAATATAGAGAATTTGTTTGCAATTGTATTTTTTTGTTAAACAATAAAAAAAATAGGTTCTATGGCAAAAGGAAATGGCCTGTTAATGAAATAGTGCTCAGAAATTTTGCAAACTTGCCTTATTTATTATAATTTTCTTCTTTGTTTCATCGTAAATGGGCGGAACACTGGCTTTTGCAAGACTCAGTCTTTTCTTCTTCTTCTTCGTTCTTGACGAGGCTCAGTCATAGATACCAAATCAATTACACCTGTCTTAGCGGTCACCTGTACTAATGGCCACTGTTCTATCATACCCTTGCTTTTTTCTTGTATGTTTAACTTATCCACAGCAGTCCCTGTCCAACGTAGCCACGGTCAGTCATTTTCGTAACAAATCAGCTTTACAACCAGCTCATAGCGGTGCACTTGCTACTAACATTTTCCACTAACCCATCCTCAAACCACGGGTGAATGTTCAATCAATGCAAAGAAGTAGCCGGGCTTATCACCTGACAAGGCACTCCCCTTACCTGACAGCCAATGACAACACATTGCTGCTGACCTCAGTATTTATCATACAGTCATATGACTGGCAGTGTGATGTCTGTCTGAACAGTTACCATTAGCTGCTGTGGTCAGGATCGTTTTTTTGTTTTTTTTGCGTTTTGTGTTTTGTTTGATCTTGTGTTGTTTTAATTTGTGAATGATTTATTTACTTGGAATGATTGAGTCTGTAGGCAGCTTTTGTTTAATCCTATCCATACGTTGCATTTTACTATCGTATCCATACGACGTGGGAACTCTGTGCCACCACTTTCTAAATAGGAAATTTACTTGTTAATGCGATCTGTACGCTTTGCATAGTAGTCTGTCAAAATGATTTTTTGAGAAATACCGAAAGTTCCAAAGAGATCTTCGTACTAGAAGTTTTCTAAAATGTGAAGAATACAACCCCGGGGGTACAAAATTGCCCCAGGGTGTACGGATAGGGTTAAAAAGAAGCTCTTATAACAGATAAAATTTTGATGGAAATGAAAAGAAAAGATAAAAAGTTAAAATGTAGAATGATGGGAACTGAGAAGGGGTTTGTGGTTTCCTTGTACCACGTGAGAATTCTAATGAGTGGTCTATTCACACAGTTTTAATTATTCTTCAATACATATATGTAGTTATTTTGAATTACTAGGTGTTTCATTCTTCTGATCGACATGAGGGTATTTATTATATATAATATGCCTAATCTATTAAACGATACATGATGACACACATTGGATAGGAGATTTTCCTACTAGCATTTCAATGCCTTTTGAGTTCATTTGAATAATTTATCAGATTGAAATGTGCAGAATTACAACTGGAATCTTTTGTAGTCGGAGAAGGTATTGGAAGCTTTTTTTCTTCTAGTTTGAATACCCCTTGAATGTTGAATTTCTTTGATATTCCTAAATATCTTCATAAAAGACCCCCCAATTTATGATGCAGTATAAATAACACAGATTGCTTCAAAATCATTTAAACTTGTTTCCTAAACTTAAAGTTTTGAACTGTGCTGGTCATATGAATTGTTTACATTTCGTCATTTCTTTGTTAGCAAAAACCTGATTTAGTACAAATTGTTCTTTTGTGTTGTTTGTCACCGATGGAGGAAAAGAGGAACTCCAGCTGTGTTCAGGTGTTGAGAATGGCTCATGTACCTATAGTCGATATGAGTTATGCAATACAATGACAATTTAATTTTAATACAAAAGACATGATATCTGATGTGGAATGTAATGCTTCTGTTACAAAAACTACCTAATCATGCAAGTCACATGCTTGATTGTCAACAAAAAGCTCATTTGTGGCACTAGGAAAAAAAAAAGCAAGACTTTGGAATCATAACTTTGGAACAAAAACAGTAAGAGTAATACTATTTTCATCCACTTGCAGGGCTTGAATAGGTCTATACTCGGATGTCCACAGTGCTATATTGTCAAAATGCAACTTTTGACTCTTTTTGTCATGCTGTTAACATTTCAGGAAACCATTGTTTTACTAATTGCAACTTGTTACTGCAGTAGCAGGTTTCCTCTCTAACTTTTCTTTGTTTATGAAGCCTATTTTAATAATTCAATTTACAAGAAAAATCAAATGTTGACAAGTTCCTTCAACATTCTTGTTAGTTTGCCAACTTTTTCTAAGGTGATGATGGTAACTTCTGTGATCCTCATTTACTGTAATTGATAAAATATGCAATAAATATTCTCTGCCCATCCTACTTTTTTTCGATCTACACTTTATTCACATTTCTAGAGGCAGCAGTGCTGTTCCTCCTTTTTATTTATTGCAAAAGAGTTATTACACTCCTGAAATTTATACACACCCGAGTATATAGTATGTACACATTTTTATCCATAAAATAATGGGCTTCAGAAGTACATATCCCATAATCAAACACATTTACTGTAGATTTACAGAAAATGATTTTGTGTCTTAACTCTGCATAATTTTGTTAAAAAGTTGAATGCTGAGAGGCTGTTGAAGTGCCATTAAGCCGTTTTGGGTTGTTATTTTTCCTTATACAATATATTTTTTAGAAATTGGAACTCACAGATTATGCTTTCATTAGGTTGTTTGTGGGAAGGCGTCTCCTGATACATCTTTTGCACAGTACTTACAACATTTTTTCAAGACTTTGTACGAGAAAATGCATTTTTTGCAGCCCTTTGTTAAAAAGTGTCAGTATATTATCAACACATTGTAATTTGAGAACTACTTTATTGTATAACATACATATATTTATTGTTTTCATGTTGTGTCCATGCTCAATTCATCTGTACTATCATGTTGGGATTGATTCACAGTCTTTGATATTTTGAGAAAACCTTACTTTGGGCTGGCCCTATTACCTTCCTCTGTTATGGACTTTACAAACATGCAGAGTGTGCAAGGTTTCATAATGGCTCAGGGTCAGTATTTTTAGTCCGGTGGCTTGATGTTGTCCTTGCACGATTCCCTGTTGGGGTCATTACTTCTCAAAGTGACTTTTTTTGGGTACATTTTTTTCTCATAAAGAAAAAGGGTAAGGCTTATCTTTTCATCTAATAACCAACCAGTGCCCGATGGATTAATACTTAAATATTTTTATGGTATTTTTAAGAGTCAGTCTCTCTATGACAGAGTTCTGTTGCAGTTTTAAGATTAATTTTTTTTTTACTTCTTCAGTTCAACTGTTTAATCTATTTTGAGATGCCATTGTTTTGGCACTTTTAATGTAGGATGTGAATGTATGATTGTAAGTGAAAATGACTTCAACGAGTTTACCAAAGCTAGACAAAAAAAACCCTTCAAAAAATTGTTTATTTGCTCAGAAGCATAACTATCTGTTTTATGTACTGCTGTATTTTAATTTCTCACAGTGCCAATGTCTGCATGTTGCAAAAAGTTCACAATCAGCACAGAAACTTGCTTTTTTCCCCTCTCTTTTGTGGGGAGGAGGGGGGTGTCTTATTTGTTCACTAACAAGTTTAGTTGCTTGAGATATATTGCAATGCATGTTGTACCTCATTGGGGGATTTCCCTTTTAGTTGTTGCCTCCCCACATGAATCAGACTTAATTATAATAGTCTTTATTTTATAAGACTGCACATGTCACTGCTCTCACTTCTTCATCTTCCAGATTTGTCAACAAAACTTCAGTTTTCATTTATGATTTTTAGAGGGTAGATTTAGAAGAAATGAAAGTAGGGAAATATTTAAAACACTTTTAATGTTATAATTGGTGCTTAATATTTTTAGTTCGTTGAAATATTCTTTTCTACTGTGTATGCAGGAATCCAGCCTTCACAACCACTCCTGGAATGATTAGCAGTCGTCAGATTCTGGTATTTTTTGCAGCTCAGAATTGACAGCTCTTGCTAGGTTCTGAATGTTTTAAAAATTTTGTCCAGCAAGCTTATATTTCAAAATAGGAAGTCAGCAGAAGTCACAGGAAGCGTAGCCAGCGCTGTGGGCTGGATGAGGCAAAACTTTGATTCCACTTGTAATTGTATGCGCAGAGTTGTGGCCCTTGCTTTGTGGGGAGTTGCATCTTAATGGAGTACTGAGTGAGAAGTCTCGTTCTTTGGTATCCACCCGTTTAACGCCACTTTTCTACTTGAGCCGTACCTTTGACACTAAGTAAGAAGAAGTCATAGTGGTATTATGTGTATTACGTGACATGATATCATCCACAAGGGGACCAATGTAATTGAAAACGGCTATTAAAAGGGTATAAAGTGGGTTTTCACTTTTTCAGTTTAGTTATCGACAAACAATATTTTCCAATCAATGACCCAAAGGAAAGTTCAAACATATCTCTACATTTTTATATAGAAGCATGGGGATCTTGCATTATATAGTGCTGAATAAAATTGATAGTATTACCATTGACAGACAAATTTAGGCAGCTAGAACGTGGGTCATCAACTGCAGAGTCTCTCTCATCAACGAATTCTTGAACCCAATGACAAACGGTGTTATATGAACAAACAAATTTTCCGCAAACACTGCAAAT